CCTCAGAAAGATAATCTCCTTTCTTGAGAGCGAAATGGACGGGGTGGTTATGTTTTTCGGGCTTGTCGCCATCCGATAAGCCTCAATTATTTCTGTCCCAACTCGCTCGCAGTGGCCTCCCATGGCTGTCGTACCGGTGAAATTAGGAGCGCAAAAATACTCCAGAAGCCGGGCGGAGACATGATAAATGTAATAACAAAAACGGCTTGACATCACAAAAATAACAATTTAATTAAACGTTTCGCCTCCCATGCGGGAGGCATCTTCAGTATAGCGCAGAGCGAGTGAGAGTCGCACAAAAAAGTTCGGCTATTTAGGCATAAAGTTTGTGTACACGTCCGGCAGGGGGCAACGGTTCTTGTTTACCAGCGACGAATCACTTCCGCGTTTGTCGTTCAGGATGAACCAAGATTCCAGCAGCTTCCACGGTCCCCACCTTTTATCCCTCGCCTTGTCAAAGTCAAATCGGTGTCCTGACGTCCATGCATGATCGACGGGTTCGGACTTGAAGCGGGTGGCGTTCGTGGAATTGGCGACATCCCGTGCGTGTTCTTTTAGTCTTGTTTTTCTTTTTCGTTCCGTCTCTCCAATGTAGGAAGCGTCACATTCCTTGCACTGCACCTGGTAGGTCACGACCCTTTCTGCCTCTGGCGGGGTCGGGCCTTTTGGCTTGGAGATAACATTGGCAATTGTTCTGTAGGGTTTGTATACAGTTCGTACCCCCAACGGCCTAAGGGCGCGTCCCAATGCCTCCTAAGCCCCCTTAACGTACGGGATGCACACGACGTCACGTGTTCGTTCGGCTCGATCCGGGCGCCGACGGGACATTTGTTCCTTAACGCGATTGATAAACCGGTCGGGGTAGTTACGTTTCTTCAAAGCCTCCCGCACATGGCTAAGTTCTTGATCGCTAAGTGTTGAGTTAGGTGGGACTGCTTCTGAACGATGAAGGCAACGATCTTACAACTGAGCTTTTGTGTTGAGTAGGGTGATGAGAGTGGTAGTCAAGAAAGTTTTGTCTGTCACACGGTTTACCATATACGGATGTCTCCATCTTAAAGAAAGATTCACTAGTTCTATGGACACGTACATATAAAAACGGCAAGGTACTATCGGTTTCGTGTTCGCAGGTGAACTGAATTGAGGGGTGGACACTATTCAAATTGCGGTGAAAATCGGTTACGTTCTCTCTGTTAACTATTACAAAAGTGTCATCGACATAGCGATGCTAGAACTTCACGGGGAAATCAATGCCAGACATTACCTTTTCCTCAACATATTCCATGACGAGATTCGAGACGGTTACGGAAACTGGACTCCCCATAGGGCATCCGCTGACCTAATCATATATGTCCCCATTAAAACTAAAATTACACTGGTTGAGACAAAAACGCAAAAGGAGTATAACGTCATCAACAAGGAGGGTTGTGCGAGTGGACAACGACGGGTCTGCCAACAACCGGTCACGGGCGACATGAACCGCCAGGGCGTTGGGGACATTCGTAAATAATGAAATCACATCAAAGGATACCATAGCCTCGTGCGGTAGCAGGGTCTGAGCGCGTATAAGTTCAACAAAGTCACGAGAATTCCGGACGCTAAACTCATTGTTTCCCGTAAGAGGGCTCAGAATCATTACCAGATATTTGGAAAAGCTGTAAGTGGATGAACCAATAACATATACAATCGGGCGTAGGGGGCAACCCGGTTTGTGAATTTTGGGGAGTCCATACATCTTGGGTGTCGCGGCGTCAAAGGAGAAGAGACGACGGTATAGGTCATCCCTGATGCGTCCTTTCTTTTTCAGCTCTCGAAGGTGGTCAACTAACTCTCTTTCGGATTTAGCAGCGGTATCTCTTGATAGCCTCACGAAATAGCGACTGTCATTTATAACTTCATACATCTTTTTCATGTATTCATCCCTATCAAGCACAACGGTTCCTTTTCCTTTGTCGGCCTTTAAAGTCATGATGGAGCTGTCTGACTTCAACTCATTAAGAGCAATGCGTTCTTGTTGATCTAAATTTGACCCGGCCGGTTTCACATTGTTCGAAACACTGACAACGCGGCTTCTCGCGAAATTTACCCCTGTGACATCGTGCACATGTCTGAGTTTCTCTTCAATTTCAATTATGAAGTCACGTTTTGGAACGTACCGTGGAGCAAGGGTATGGTCCAGTCCTTTGGATAGCAGAAATTGCAAGCCAGGGTTGGTAATAGTAACATAAGGTACGTACGGCAGAATTCCCTGCCATAAATAAAATGATTTGGCTAACGCCAATTTAACGCGAAATAGGTGCAAAAAGTTCTGCGATGGGAAGCGTAAACCGAAAAAAAAGGAAAAAAGAAGAAAGACTGAAGGAAAAGAGAAATAAGAAAAAAATCTAGTGACGTGGCCAAAAAAAAAAAATTCTGTTCATATGATTTTTCTTGTTACGTGACCAAACAAAAAAAAAATAAACGAAATAAAAAAAAAGAACACGAGAAAAAAAACCCAGCCCGGTTTCGAAGCTAGGCCCGCTTGATCGTGAAACTAGCGCGCTGTCCGTTGCGCCAACATAACTTTTTTTTTCTTTCTTTATTGCAAGTTGCGCCAACATAACTCTGCCTGTAATGCTCACGCATTCTCCCATCATAGGAGAAAGCTTAGTTGCCTTCGTAGTTTTTCATGCATGTGCTATTTTTATTTGTGGCAAGTGTTCACGTCCAGAATGCTTTTAGAGTTTTCGAGCAAAACGAGTTTTCTTCATCCGAGTCGCCTTCTAGAACCAGTAGACCGCACTGGGTCGTCCGGCTAATCAAGCAGCTTTTTTCAAATTCTCTAACGTGCCCGTCCTCGGATCCGAGGTCGCCGTTTGACAAGCTTAACTTTCTTCCACCTTTTAGCCGGAAAACCCCACGGCAGCTTTGTTCCGTCCCCACTCCCTCTCGAGAGAATGGCTCGCCCCGAGGCTAATCCCGTTCTCTAGACGCTCTTTCCACCCAACGATGGCCCTTTCCCTCCCCGTCCCCCAGCTTCGGGAGAGAAGGTTCTTCTCTATAGAACGTCCCGTTTGTACGGCGGCCTTTAAAGTTCAGATTGTCCTGTCTGTATCGTCCCTTTTGTGTCTCCACTTTTAATGTTTAAAAAGTATCAACACGCTAAAATAGTACAATTTCCAGGATTTTATTTTCATTCCTCAAGTGTGATGCGGGAGCCGCGCCACGGAGCCCCGGTCGTTTCCGCTCTTTGTTATCGTTAAGATTTGACAGTGCTCAATCACAATGCAAGACACGCACAGAGCCACGCTCGCTTTTGCAATGCGCCGCCTAATAATGATATCTCTTGTGGAAACGTGCGTACATCTGTCTTGCGCAGTGTTAGCTCAATGACAGCACTTTCTGTAAAGGCGGATTCACACCGGGGATGTAAGCAGTCGCGCGATCCAACTAAATCGCGTCGCAAAAAAAAAATAAATAAAAGTAATTAGTTGGTCAATTTGGCGTGCGCGATGAGCGAGTCCAACGCCTTCGTTGGCGAGTCGCTTCTCAAAAACTCTCGCTCCGAACGCCGTTGGTTGGCTCGGCCTCTCCGCGACTAGAGTGCATCGCGAAAAGTCGGGTCAGCAAGCGACTGCTCAAAACCCGTCACTTTTTGCCCGCGGTGGTCGCTGTTGCGATGAAAGTTATGGCGCGACTAGATCGCATCGCCGGTGTGAACGCGCCATAATGTCGAACCAGTCTCACGGCGCGCCCCGATATTGGCTTGTGTACCTACGCGCGAGTGCAACCTCTGGCACAATTTATTTGCGTTTGCAAAGCCTGCTCCAGCCGCGTCAAAACATTCAGCCAACCTTTGGACTGCAGAAATCAAGAGACACCCAAAATAAGATAAAGTTGCCAGCCGAATAAAACTTGATTTCTATTTAATTAAGGTGAAGACCACCCGCGTACATCAAATATTTCATCAGCCGAACTCCAAGGCAGTAAGCCCAGTTCTGGCACTTGTTTGGCAACTTTGGCCCGCAGCTGCCAGATCACAGCCAAACTATCGGGAAGCGAAGCCTAACTTGGGTGCTCGTTTGGCGACCTGGGCCCAAAGATGCCAGATCTCAACCGAACTACAAGGTAGTAAGCCTAACTCTGGCACATTTGTGGCGATTTTGGCCCGAATGTGCCAGGTGACAGCCGAACTGTGAAAAAGTGAAGCCTAACTTTGGCATAAGTTTGGCGATTTTGGCCCGAAAATGCCAAAGCTCTGCCGAACTACAAGGTAGTAAGCCTAACTCTGGCACATCTCTGGCGATTTTGGCCCGAATGTGCCAGGTGACAGCCGAACTGTCAAAAAGTGAAGCCTAACTTTGGCATTAGTTCGGCGATTTTGGCCCAAAAATGCCGAAGCTCTGCCGAACTACAAAGTAGTAAGCCTAACTCTGGCACATCTGTGGCGATTTTGGCCCGAATGTGCCAGGTGATAGCCGAACTATCAAAAAGTGAAGCCTAACTTTGGCATTAGTTTGGCGATTTTGGCCCAAAAATGCCAAAGATCTGCCGAACTACCGGGCAGTAAGCCTAAATCTGGCATTTTTTAGGCGATTTAGGCCCGAAGATGCCAGACGACAGCCGAACTACCCGGCAGCGAAGCCTACGTTTGGCACTTGTTTGGCGAATTAGGGCCAAGATACCCAGACTGTTGCCAAGGGAGGTCAGGTTTGGCACTACTTTGGCTTCTTCGGGCTTTTTAATGCCCTAAACTGCCAGACGCAAGCCAAGTTTTGGCCCAGAACTCGGTGCTGCCTGGGAAGTGAATTATGCACAATGTTTAAGAAATCCCCCCGAAAAATTAATACCTTCTTTGGTTTATACTTTTAGGATTACCAACGATCCGTCCATTTTTAAAAGAGGTCGATCACTAACGTGATAGCAGCTGGACACTGAATGACAAATAAGAACACATACACGAATTTCAGCCCCATGCAGCGCATAAATAAATACTCTACAGATTCCTCCAGATAATATTCTGTTATTACGAATTCTGACATTACTTTTTATTTTACACAAAATAATCTTTACCAACACAAGAAGAGAAATGCCTGGGTCCAGCGTTGCATTACCAGAACTTCAGAAGTGACAGTTTTTCTGATGTATTGCGTATTAAAGTCTATGCGGATTCGTCCAACTTCACAACTACCTTGCCGACGCTCTTTCCGGAGTGGAGGTACTCGATGCCTCGAATGCAGCCGTCAAGCCCCTTCAGCTCACCTCCATCTGCGTTGAGCCCGAAGTCCACCTTAGGAGAGATTGTGCCATCCTGCAGCATCTTCTGGAGCTTTGCCAGATATTCTGGAAACGGACGATAGTATTGGGGGAGAAAAAATCCGCTCACAGTGGCCGAACGCATCAGCAGCTTAGAAGGCAAGTCCTCGAGATTCACATCAGGAAAAGCCTTGTCGCTGTCCTGGTACCCTGCAACGACGGTGCCCACCACCACAAGTCTTCCTCTGATGCTCAGATGATTCAGGAGGACTTCAAACGTCTTTCCACCGATGACATCCCAGATGACGTCCACACCATTCGGGTAGCTCTTTTCCACTTCCGTGCCTAGGTCATGAGTCTTGTAGTTTATGACTTTGTCGCAACCGATGCTCTTGAGGTACACCTTCTTCTCCGGCGAGGAACATGTGCCGATGACGTGGCATTTTGCAGCCTTGGCCCACTGCACGGCGACGTGGCCCAGCCCGCCGGCAGCTCCAGTTATTAAGACGGTTTCGCCCTCTTTTATCCTACCTTGCTCGTCCAAGCCGATTGCAGCAGTCAGTCCACTTATTAAAAGCGGTATAACTTCAGGCACTGCTCTCGGAATCGGAAACACCTTCGACGCCCGAATACGTTGATACTCGGAGAAAGCACCAAAACCGGGCATGTTGATTGTAGCCACCGCACTGCCGACGGGGAGATGTTTGACGTCATCGCCGACGGCAACCACTTCGGCCACGGAATCGAAGCCGACGTTAAATGGCGGTGTCGCTGCACTGTACCTTGCCACGGTAATGTTCCAATCTGAAGCGTTGATACCGGCATACTTGGTCTTCAGAAAAACCTCGTCGTGCTTCAGTTTAGGTGTCTGTTCCGTGACGACGGACACTGCTTCCCTAAAGTTGGAAGTTACCTTGACGCAAATCAGCTTCTTGTATTCGCTCGGGAGGTTCATGACGATACTTTTTGCTTTTACCGCGCCCACGAAACGTCTGCTCGCTTTATGAATGCCGATTAGACTGTGTGGACCAAACTGCTTTGGATGCTGGAACAGAGCACGATAGGAACTCTAGATAAGTAGAGCGACGGCATAGCCGGCGATAAGATACGAACTTCGCCACGTGATTATTTCAAAAAAAGGTCGTAACAACGGCAACAGGTGGGGGCAGCCGGTGTAATATGAAATAGCGAGCAGATAAACCGAGGAAAGAAGAGTCGATTGACCGCAGGCTACTGTATTAATGGTAGGAATTTTCTGTTAAAATAACGTACGATTGTTTTCTGGAAATCCGTAAAAAAAGCATCAATTTAACACTTTAGGTTTTTTCAAATGAGAAGCTCATCCATAAAAAGGACATGTCACTAGATTAACGAGTTTCGTAGAAATAACAGCTTGTGTGAAAAAAAAATGAAAGCCTCTTTTCAAAGGAAACGAGTCATTCCGTCATAATCCATTTAATAGCCGTTCACATTCTCTTCGGAAGAGCACCGTAACTAAGAAATATTCGCTGTGGAAGAAACTTTACAACTGTTAAACTCCCAAGAACGTGTTCTGCTTCACAAACACCAGATATGCGAAATGCATCAGAAGACTGTATGTTCCTTTAAATATCCTCGTTTCTCTTACACATTTTACATTTCCAGAGCTGAAAATATGCAGGGCTTAAAACTTCCAGAGCTTCCTTCACAAACAAAGAACATGTGTGGAGGCGGTTCCCTGCCATAAGAATATGTAGAGGCATTTCTATCGAGTGCAATTTCTCAAAACACGGTTAACATAATATAGTGCTTGTTTTGCTGAGACAATCAAAACGTAACCGATGCTTTGCTGCCCAACATTTTTCAAATACTAGAGCTTTGTGCAACCATAGCCTGTAATGCCACCTGAAGCATCCTTGAGATAAAAAAAAAAACGATAAAACTGGTTCGACGCAAGGAGTATAAGGCACTGAACAGAGCTCCTGCACACATCAGTCATAAAACAATCTTCATGCAACACATAAAACTGATCATGTTAAGTACCGCGTAACAATTGACAGTTGACAATTAGTTTCGTACACGTTTACGCAATACACACAACTGGGTTGAAATAGTGGGATGCCAAGCACCCGAGCTTTGAATAAGTGAGATAGAATGCTACGAAACAGAAGCCACTTACAGATTCTGGCATGTAATGCACTGGCGAGCAGAGCTGTCGGCAGCTCATGGCGCAGACTGGTCTGGCAGTTTTTCAGAGCGCGACAGGACCTTGCCTGGAGCACATTAGCATCTAAGAGGGGTAAATTTTCAAAACATGAATGGCCATAAGGAACCGTTAAGACTGAAGTCATCGCACGAGCCTAAAACATCCTATGAATACATGGAGTTCATTTAGTGACCTGATTGAATTGCGTACAAGTTGTGAAGTATTGTGATTAATTATTTATTTAGTAAAATATCTTGCTATTAAACTCTGGCTCTGTGGCTTTTTCCTTGAGCAAGCTTAGCGGGTAAGAAAAGCAAGTTTGAACTGATGGCAACATTTTATAAATTTTAAAATACGTCGGCAGCTCCGTCTTTGGCATCATGGGACTATTCACACGTTGCCTGCATAAGGAAGAGAAAGATGTATGCATATCCACTGGTTTTTTCCATTGTACTTAAAAGTTCAACTGAAGTCCGCTCATACACACAATATACGAGGGAGAGTCAATAAGTGACAACAGACTAATTAAAAAAATGAGGTGGGATTCTGAATACAAATATTGTATTAATTCGCGACATATACTCCCCCGACATTGACACACTTATCCCATCTCTTTACCAATGCACCAAACACCTCCTGCGCTAAATTCTTTGGGCTGCTTCTCAGTCACGTGCGTATCTCACATTCTGCATCTTCATCTGTCACAAAAAGTTTGCTGTCAAGCAGAGTTTTTACGGTACAAAACAAGTGAGAGTCGCTTGGGGTCAAGTGAGAGCAATAAGGCGGACGTTCAAGAAGTTCCCACCGAAATTTATTGATTGTCTCCTGGGTTAATCGAGTTGCACGAGGCCTGGCGTTCTCTTGATGGAGCAATATTCGTGCAGTCAATAGGCATGGACGTTTTTTATTTTGCGAATTACACCCCGAAGCTGCAACAGAACTTCACAATAACACTCAGCATTCAGTTTCACCTGGTTTAAAAAAAAAAAAAAGTTAGGCGCAACACAGAGTGAGAATCCTAACACGAAGTATAACCTTTCCAGTTAAACGCATTGCATTGAAGCACGCTTAGTTTCGTGTTAGTAGTGATTAACCCAGGATTCATCCCCATTAACAATGTTGTTTAGCATGTCCTCTCATTCCTTGGCATATCAAAAGAGATGTTCCGTAGCCAGGCCCATTTGATTATTTTTCTGTCCCTCGGTCAGCTGTCTGGACACCCACCGTAAGACTACTTTTCTGAAATCTAAACCATAAAAACAGCCAATTTTAGTTCCAACACTAACTATTGTTACTCTCCAGTCGACTCAAATCACTTCTTCCACCCGTTGCACTGTCGCTTCTCTCACAATCTTAACAGGATGACCAGTGTGCTCCTCGTCAAGAGCATCGGACCGCCCTTGAGAGAATTTCTCAACCCGGTTGTCCACCACTTTATGCAATAAACACTTCTCAACGTAAGCAGGAAACATTTTCTTGCTAATATATTTTGCAGGAAGCCATTTTGCCCACAAAAACGCACAACAGTATGCTGGTTTAGCGTACACTCACAGTCGCCATTTGTAAACTGAGCTGCTCATGCGTGGGTTTGTTATCTAGTTACTGCAGAGTGAATATTATAAATATCAATGTGTTGCCATCTATTCACGCATTTGGAAACTAGTCACTGCTTATATCAGATATTTCATATAAGTTTGTGGCTTAGTGACTTTCCTCCCCTCGTTAATGAGGAGCATGCAGGGTTCCCCAAGAGACTAGCTTAACTTGTTCAGCGAACACCACTTTGGCCGGAAATGCAAACTGCCCCTTGTTCAACAGCAGCCTTCTGTTGTAGGTACCTGTGCACATCAGAAGCACGATTTAGTCTGATTTCCCCCTTGCGCTGGCTACGATTAACCCAGTCTTATTCTAACACAGATGCTTTGGCTGGGCAGACACACAAAACACTGACAAAAGACCACTATAGATATAGGAAATAGGGTGTCTGTGAGCAATAAAACACACAACCCAGATAGGCGTCAATAACTTAGATTAAAACACTTGCCGTGAGGGGCCAAGAGTTAACTTCTGTCTTTCATTGGCTGGTGCCTACTACCGAGACCTGCATGTATCAAAAAGAACCAAGTTCTATACCCAATCAACATGGCAGCGTAAAGGTACCTTTAGCTTAGGTCCCAAAGTTGAAGGTACCTGTAGTGAACGTCGTTCTGAATCACGTGATAAAAAATGAAGCTCTTTGAGTTGATGTCGGGTCGCTATCCTGCTAAATCGCAAGAGGAGCACGTGATAAACGATTAGTCCTCGAAATTGGTTTGACATGCAGATTTTGATTATTGTGTGTGAAATATTCCAATTTAAAACCTAAATGTTATTTGTGTTTGCTTTTGCGGCACTTCATTTCTTTTTTCTCCAAGTCTGAGGGCGCACCTAAATGAGTCTTGTTTCAAAACGTTCGACCCGTCTGGCCGCACTGTCCCTAAGTCATCTGTGTTTACGAGTTTCCATTGCGAGGTGGGCGACCTTTTTCTGTTTAGCATCTTCAGTTTTCCGCAAAGTGCTCAATAAAGTACAAAACGAGCGTGTTGGTAACGGTAATTAGACATGAGGAAGATACATAGAAAGGGGGGACGGACAACGAAGACTTCCAACTAGCAACAACATTTATGTACCCGAAGTTTGCATATATACGTGAAGGAGGGGAGGGTGAAAGACGCTACACTAGAAAGTGGGAAAGCGATGGGAGAGAGTGTAGAGCCAGGGAAATGAGGGACGATCCCGTGGGGTAGACATCTAATCGCTCGGAGCCGCTGAAACGAGGGACGTCAGCTCTGGCCCCAGGAAGTTTATCTCCCTCCTGGATAAGCCTATGGACGGGGATCCGAAGTTGCTGTGACTGTAGTGCATGGCGAAGGCCTATCTCTCGTCCGTATCTTGAGGCGTGACCTCCAATCCTGGTGGTCGAGGGAAGGTCGGCCGAACAGGGTTCGCTGCACTCAGAGGTGTGTTTGGCAATCGGGTGGTAACAAATCTCCGAAGTGTCGGAGGCGGCTTTCTTGATCTCGTTTGCATGTCCCCCCTTTCTACGTATCTTCCTCATGTCTAATTGCTCAATAAAGTAGCCAAATAGTGCCCGGCAGTAACGAACCACGTCGGAGTATCACGGTTACGCCAGTCACGCCTTCATAAAGGATGGACGACGACGAGGATAAAAGATCTAGGCGGGAGTGTCGAACGACTCTACTACAACTTCGAAAAAGAATTCGCAGTGGTGCATCGGGTTCAGGTTCGTAGCAGACATTTTTTTCCACGTGCCGCCGCTGCTACCTGCTAGCTGGATTTTGCGTTCCTCGCTAATGTATTATTTCATCACATTTCTGTTCACAAACTTTTTTTATAATTTGTACTTATATATATTCAATTTGTTATATTGCATTTAGCAAGGTTTTTATTTTCAGTTTGTTGGTCCGAGCTACTCCCCCGTAGTTGGAAAGGTAGCTTGGCGAGCTCTGGTTAACACAGGACCTCCCTTTGCCAAAGGGACCTTTATACGCCTTGTGACTACGATCTCCAGCTCCATTTACTACAGGTGCCTATGCCAAAGGTACCTTTACGCTGCCGTGTGAATCGGGTGAGAGAGATTTCGGAGTTTTATGGCGCAAGAAAACTACGAGGAAATCTACTCCAAGCTAATTGAAAGGCTAACTGTACATAGGACGGGTTTCACAAAAGGATAACCAAAAAGCTAGAATAGGTGTAAAAGGCTAATACAACCAAGAATTTATATTACTCTTTGAAAAGAGAATTCTCTCCCACAAGGAGGGCGGGGTGAGATGGGATGTGATGTTGAAAAAATTCAGGGAAATGAATGAGG